TCAATATTTGCTAAAGAAACTCCTGCCTGACGGGTCGCGTGACCTTCAACCTTGTTGTTATTGATCGATTAGGCCAGTAATTATATGTGCCCAGTCTGTCATGATAGGGGGTGGGGGATGGGGGGTAGAGGGCACAGGTTGCCCAGTCGTCTAAGGCGCCGCAACTCGCTGTGCTAAAAACCTATGATTGTTGGTTCGAATCCTGGTTCGCCCCGTTATGTTTCTTGGTTTGTCAGCACCATACCCGTGCTCGCGGGTTTCACTGAAGTGGTAAACGTCTGAGACCTGCATCACTTCGGGCTTTCCTCCCACATTAAGCTGACACGCCATGATATAACTGGAATACTGTTAAAAGCTGTGTTAAACCCAACTCACTCACTCACTCTGTCATGATGGGCAATCAGTTATATCTTGTACATAAAATATGACATGGAAAACTAAATGTACAAGAACCTCTGAACAGAAGGCAGGGCTTTACCTTGACTTACAAATAATTAATATTTAGGGTCCTCCATTCCTAACTAACCCCACCCCACCCATGCCCCACCACTACACCAGCAGAGCAGGCCAATATCCTCATCAAATCCCTTACTACATAAATCAAAGTCCTAAAGAGGATCCCACGTACACAAACATCTAATGAGAATAAATCCTCCACAAACAAGCAGAGCACCTGCATAAATTTGCCACCAGCAACATCCAGGGCGGGGCTCGGCCATTTCCAAGAGTGAAGTATGTCTACACGATACTGCAGGGCCATCCTACTCCTCTGTCGCCTCGTCATCTATTGTGCTGCTCTGATTGGTGGGCCTATCCAGTTACCTCCCCTGAGCCAAGACTTTCACACACGACCAGAGCGAGACTAGGGGCCGAAGCGTGCCAGCCTTTGTTGGAGTGAAGTATGTCCGACAGATTTATATCCCCCAGCACACAGGACTACATAAACATGCCGGACACAGAACACATTACACATACATTGTCGATTGGGGATTAGGACGCACTACACACTAAATACATCTGGTAATCTTACAAAGATAATATTGACATTAATTATGCTCTCTTCATTTCCATTCATGAAGCAAAGAGTGGTGCTAGAGGGATTTCATACAGCTTCTTGTGAAGGTGGTGTTTAGTCATTCAATGGACTCCGAGATCAAGTGGTTTGGACTCTGACACTAGGTAACTGAATCTACAGCAGTTTAACATGGGTACCGAGGACACACTGAACACTCATGCCTTGGAGACAAGTACCATGGTCACTAAGAAAACTACTCCGTACTTATTTTTCTGACTTGTCTTTCATTTGGTTGTAATTATTACTGCCCCAGTCGGGAGAGACAGACACATTTCCTGGCTGATGCCATGAGGAAACAGCCGAGAAGTTTGGACAGAGTAGAGCTGTTTACACCTGCTGATGTGCTAATCAGTGTTCATTTAAGAATCTAGATATCTGATTGGCTTACAAGTAGGACACTTCAGTTGTCATGACATCATCCTGTTTCATGTGTAGTCATAATTGAACCCTATTTACATGGACACACACACACACACACACACACACCAACACGCACGTACATGTGATAGATGCGTAACCATGGTAACTTGCCATGTTTCATGCCATCTCAAATACACCTGGGAACAGTCCTATAGTATTCATGACAATATATTTTACACAACCTATTAACAATCTTCTGAATTGGTTTAATATATTGAGGGTTCCCTTGTACAAAGCCATGATTTTGAATGAAGATCTATGCTGAACTCGAGTTCAAGTGGGAGAAGTTCTGTGATGGGTGAGCCGGGAGATGGAAATGAACCTATGGCGGTGGATGGGTCCAGGGTTCTAACATCACAGAATGTAGACAGAGCCTGAACCACCAGTGCCACAACGTGGGTGTCTTTAACTTCAGGCAGGGTCACAACAAGTACCATCTTTTAACTTCTTTTGGTATGACTAGGTCTGGGATCAAACCCCAGACCTCCCACTCTCCGGGCATACACTCTACCACTAGCCCACAGAGGCAGTCTCACCCAGGAGGAAATGGGTTCTCGATGTATAGACAGCTTGGGTCCACAAGGAGCCATGGGTCATGGAACAAATAAATCGCAATCGAGCAGATGCTAGCATCTGGATAAGCGTGCTGTATAAATGTATAATATAATCATTATAAGATAATTTGGGATGCAGCTGCTGCAGCCATTCTTAACTTTTCAAATTGAGAATATCCATTGTCATGATTGTTGTAATAATGTTCAACAGTGAGTGTTTTTGGTTTTTTGTTGTTGTTTTTTTGGAGGGGATTGTTGTATTGTTGTTTAACTCCGCACTCAGCAATTTTCCAGCTATATGACAGCGGTCTAGATCAGACATCCCAGTGAGTGATATCATGAGCATTGATCCACGCAATTGGGACTTACCTCAACCAAGTCAGAGAGCCTGACCACTCAATCCCATTATTCGCCTCTTACAACAGGCATAGTCACCTTTTACGGCAAGCATGGATTGCTGATGACCTATTCTACCCGGATGTGAGTGAGTTAGGTTTTGCCCTGCTTTTAGCAATATTCCAGCAATATAACGGCAGGGGGCAGCAGAAATGGGCTTCACACATTGTACCCATGTGGGGGATTCAGCAGTATAGGAGGAGAGATTTTAACCGTCAGTGCTCAACAACGAATGGATGAAGACCCACAAAATAAGCAGACACTGACAAAATCTAAAATACAATGTAACCATGGTAACGGGGAGGATCACCACAGGAGTCCCCTATTAACAGAAGTTTCTATCAAACAGGTGAAAATCAACTCACTGGCGACATTTACAGTAGGGGAACTTATGTTAGTTATGACATTAGTGATGTTTAATGAATCTACTGTCTTGGATTAAATATTTCCCTGAACCAACATGATATTTCAGAAAATATCATGGAACGAGGAATGAATTCAAAATGGCTGATTGTCCAAGATGTTGAGTTCACCAGTATGCATGAATGACAGGGTATGAACTCATTTATTGGGTAATTTTGTGATAGAAAAGTGTGGGAGAAAACACTGTAAGGATAACATGGATCACAGAAACAAACGAGGAGGGCATAGGAATGGTTACTGATGGCACCAAAAAGGGTGACTTGGCTTCTGAATCATATCTGAGCAAGTGTAGTGAGTGAAAGTGGCTTAGGTGGGAAAATATTCTGCCACTTGATAAGTTTCAGCAGGCTATAATTAGCAGGTTTAGTAAGCGATTAACTAAAACTTTCAAAATCACTACGTTTATGGAATGACATTGAGTGTAGAGACTATAGATCACGGAGAAGACCCACCAATCTGTAATACTAATTATCCGTCTCTTCAAAGCACATCTACATATGTCTGGGTTTATCTCGGACCTGACCTGAGTTGGGGGTAGATTTTGAAACTGGAGCTAATCACCCAATCTGTGCCAAAGACTTTGAGTACAAAAGCCCAAACTTTTTAGTTTTATCAGATGGTGTTATTTTTGCTGACCAAACAGAATTTAACGTGACCCTTGCTTTAGACTAGTGGCTAAAGTGGCAGACTGGTCCTTCAGCTACTGATTTCTTACCCATTAGATTCGAATAACATAAAGTGGACATAAACCTTACTAAACTAATCCATCTCTTCACTTCTACATGTGGAATATCTTCAACAAGTTAGTCTCTCTAAAGGTTCTAAAAGTAAAATATAGAAAATAAGAGCCTGGTCTCTTTAAGGAGGAAATAAGGTAATGTGCACGTCAGGAATGTCTGAACGTGTTGTAGACTAGGCCTCAAGTCCCTTTTAGCAGGATAGTGATATTAATGAAACACTAGACCCATATATATAAATAGACAAGGAACGTTACTTGCCATCTTGGCCGAAGCTAAAATCTGCTGTATCATAAAAACGAAATGGAAATGTATGCATGTCATGTTCACAATACCTTCCCACCTCTCTTCATATACACACTGCATGCCAAAAACCTTCATATTCGCAATTAATTACCTATCTCGGGTGATCTTATCAAAATATTGGCTCAATTGTGGCTGGATATAGAAACAAAATTATGTTAGGTGTTTATTATTATGGTACTCACTTTATAATTAAGTTACTTAATATCTGTAAATATCTGTACTGCAGTTGGCTGAAATATTTCCGATGTAACGTTATACAAGTGGATATTAAATTTACACAAGTTTTCCCCCCAATTTAGGCAATTATACAATATATCTCAGGGCTCCAGATAAGCTGTGTATCTGCGTAAAATATGCATCAGAAATGCAGAAATATGCAGTAAAATAAAATCCAAGCGTATCAAATATGCAACGAACATTACAGATACGCTATATAATATTAAAAAATATTGTGAAGTAACCCTGCGTATTTGATTAGCAAATCAGCAACTATAAACGGGCATTCCGTCAACCTTGCCAAACTCCACGATGACAGTTACATCATGATCATTTGCCATCACACTTTCTTGTGGAAGTATTGTGGTATTCTTGAGTCCTATAAAGCTCTCGAACCCAAACGGCACCAGTTTGCAGGGACTAGATGAATAGTGTTTTTAAATATTTAACTTAAATACCCACATGTGTAAAAACTAGTGGGTAACAGAAATTTGAATACCCAGATAGAATTACAGATACCCAATGATTTTAAAATGCATGGGTAAAATACCCACAACACCAAAAGCTTATCTGGAGCTCTGTATCTTATCTGTTTGGATGAACCATAATTATATGCTTATTGAATATTGTTCTATTTATGACTTTGTATGACGTGGAACATTGTCGTTTTCTCTGCAGCATGGGTGAAAATGAGATACGAGCATTCCAAAGACAAAAATAGTGCTTCCTGAAAATTCATGGTTAGAAAATGAGAACACTTTTCGTACACGAAAAGAGGGTACATCATACATTTGATCGAAAACAGAACAAAGTGTCAAAGAAAAATGAGGAAGAGTGGCTGTACGGATTATGGGATAGTTAATAGTTACATACTGTTTTGGGTCTTTTCAAAATCGCCTGTCTGACACAAGATGAGCACGTTACAGGCATGTCGACGAAACTTAGGAAGGCCGACCGTACGTCAATCAAACATCAGCCCATGCAAGTCTTGTGTAACCTCGTGGACTTGTTTTCTTCCGGTTTAAGTAAAACGCAATATCACTGGCTACACCTTTCACAGTCAGCCAATAGACGTGCTTGATACAAAGCACCAACTTTTGTCGTATTTGTTTGTAGAGATGTCTACAGGGGAGGTCACTCTTAGCTTTTCTTTACCGAGCTGCTGTCTAAGTGCTTCGTGTGTGCGAACCAAGAGTGGAGCTTCTCTTTCTGTCTATTTGTGGTGTTACATAAAGTTTGGAGTGAACTATGTGTGCAATCCGAACGAACCTCATTAAATGTGTTGTACATTCAGAGACAAAAGTATACACTTACAAATAGGGCCATTTTCGTTGAATGTAACTGACATTTTATAATTATACTATAATTTATAGAAATTTGAAGTGTTCTTCTCATGACGCCTCCATCGAGAGTGGGCGATATACTTTAGTCCCGAGAACAGAAAGACTGTGTAAGTTTTGTAATATCCTAGCTATCGAATGCGAATATTACTTTTCGCTTGTATGTCCATTCTACTCGTGTGTATTGTATTAATGAGGAAAATAATATTATATTCCAATGTTTGTTAAAGAATAAAGACAAGTTAATTATACAACACAAGTCTGTATACCACACATATGTACAGACACTTATTTATGAGTATTGCTTAAAATGTATACACTATAGGAGCTTAAAGTGCTTAAATAAAGTCTGATTGACAGAGAAGTATGTATATGCTTATACAAGTGAATGTCTTTTGGTATGACCCTCCACTACATGATATCACCAAATAATCAATAAACTTGAAACTTGTTATTATTACTCACACATCTGTAACAACAATAATAATAATACATGTAGTGACATGTTTCAACTTCACTGGTTTCTCTTGTAGCAATCGTTACAAACATGTAATGAAAGACATTTTTTACAGACGGTTATTCTTTCAGCCGTTTCTTTTGGTGCTAGAAATGACATGATTTTTGTTAACTTACAGGTTGTCCCGTCGTTGATGAGTTGGGTAGAAGTTGTGTTTCCTTGTTGCATTAGTTTTTGAGGATATTTGGTAAGGTTTGGTTTCCAGATGTGTGGCTGAAACATCTCCACAATTTCAAACATGGCTGCAGTTAAGTCATTTGCCTCTTCGGGCAGTACAGCTAACATTGTCTTCATTGATTTCTAAAGCTACTTCATTGTATGAAGTTACTTTGAGTGAAATTTCGTCTTAAGCATCCTTTATCTTAGGAGTGACACATGATAAAGAGAGTATTACCATTATGTGTTTTTCCATATCGTCAGAAAAAGCCAGCAATATACATTTTTTGTTTCTACTTTGTGATATTTACGGAAACACACAGGGGTCATAGCCTCTGTTACTAAACACTATATATTACTGGTGTAACAGTGAACTCCCTGTAACTCCACTCATTTATCATGTATCAGCCAATCAGCTGGTAAAATATGTTGCATATCAGCAATTTAACAGATATTTCAATGGGTTTTTTTCAAATGAACCCCATTGTTTAATTTTCATTAAAGGTTAAACTCTATATTCTCTACCTGGAAGATATTCAATTGCAAGTTGTCGTTATAAATAATCCTGTACGTGTATTGTTATTATTACACAAGTCAGCCAATGAATATAGCCTGTATGTGTTAGCCAGTATACATGTGGACATGTTCACTATATTTAGTCTGCAACATTTTGTGAATGGGCTGGTGTTTGATGTCAGACCCAGAGCGCCAGATAACTTTTTGAGCAATTGAGTTTTACTCTAGGGTTTCGATTTTAATTGGGTTGTTACATTTTTCATTGGGTAACCAATAATTTTTCACTCTTCTATTCATCACTCTGTTGGATTTTTCCCAAAATTAGTGAACATTTTAAGATTTAAAAAAATAAAATAATGTTTTAGATGTATACAACTGTTCTAAATATAAAGGCTTAACTCGGAAAGTAAATGAGCTCGTAATTGTGTTTCGGAAATTAGCTTCTTTGTACGCATGCTGAAAAAGCTTCATTGGGTATTTACATGTGCTGTTTTTATTCATTTGAGTTTATCATTTAATGCATGCATTTCTGTATGAAAGTTAATTGAAAGTAATTGGGTTTTGAATATTTTTTAGGGGTATTTTACACAAATACGCTCTGGGTTATGACAACACACTGCGGAATCTGGATGATGGTTGTGGAGCGTGTGTACCAGACAGCCGGAGATATACATTCATGTCCACATCATCGCTGCTTACATGCAGGCGGAATTAAACTACAATGGTTCAGTTCGAGGGTACAAGGGTGGAACTGTTCATTATTTCAACAGAACCGCAGCCATTGTAGCAGCACATTCAAGGCTTTTATATCACTGAACTTAACCATACTTGCAGTAGAAAAAGACGACAGGAAAAGCTGAAAACTTCCACCAGTCTCTCACTGACGTGCGTGTGTGTACACACGTATTGCAGGACCACATTACACCGAGCTTGTTTATCAATGTAAACAGGGACATGTTATTGAACAAAGCTCCACTATGATTGACTGCTGAGAGGAATGGATACGTTACATTTCCCTGTTTCTGAAAACATGAAAAACCGGACATGTCCTGAATGAGGTTTTAGGTTTAAAAAAAAAATGACAAAAGTGAATTAACTTTGTCCTCCAAAACACATGAACGTCTGGGAATTATACTTCAGATTTGTAAATTGAAGACTTCAAGAGATTTCTTAAATCTTCATTCTAGTTTGGAGTTAGAGCAGTTTGAAATGATTGTACTGTAAAACGTAAGCGAATATACCTGGCACGTATTACTATAAAGAAAAACAAATCCATTGGTTCTGACGGAACCTTTTAGATTATATATTCCTGAGGCTCATGGCAAGGTTGTTTAAGTAGTTTAGGAGGTCCTGTCTATTGGACAACAGGGGGAGGGAGGTCCTGTCTACTGGACAACAAGGATAGAGAGGTCCTGTCTACTGGACAACAGGGGAGGGACGTCCCGTCTATTGGACAACAGGGGGAGGGAGGTCCTGTCTACTGGACAACAAGGATAGGGAGGTCCTGTCTACTGGACAACAAGGATAGAGAGGTCCTGTCTACTGGACAACAGGGGGAGGGAGGTCCTGTCTACTGGACAACAGGGGAGGGACGTCCTGTCTATTGGACAACAGGGATAGGGAGGTCCTGTCTACTGGACAACAGGGATAGGGAGGTCGTGTCTGCTGGACAACAGGGATAGGGAGGTCCTGTCTACTGGACAACAAGGATAGGGAGGTCCTGTCTACTGGACAACAGGGATAGGGAGGTTCTGTCTATTGGAAAACAGGAGGCAAGAGGGCCTGTCTGCTGGACAACAAGGGGAGGGAGGTCCTGTCTACTGGACAACAGGGGGAGGGAGGTCCTGTCTACTGGACAACAAGGATAGAGAGGTCCTGTCTACTGGACAACAGGGGAGGGACGTCCTGTCTATTGGACAACAGGGGGAGGGAGGTCCTGTCTACTGGACAACAGGGGAGGGACGTCCTGTCTATTGGACAACAGGGATAGACAGGTCATGTCTGCTGGACAACAGGGGGAGGGAGGTCCTGTCTACTGGACAAAAAGGATGGAGAGTTCCTGTCTACTGGACAACAAGGATAGGGAGGTCCTGTCTACCGGACAACAGGGATAGGGAGGTCCTGTCTACTGGACAACAGGGATAGGGAGGTTCTGTCTACTGGACAACAGGAGGCAAGAGGGCCTGTCTGCTGGACAACAAGGATAGGGAGGTCCTGTCTATTGGACAACAGGTGGAGGGAGGTCCTGTCTACTGGACAACAAGGATAGACAGGTCATGTCTACTGGACAACAAGGATAGGGAGGGCCTGTCTACTGGACAACAAGGATAGAGAGGTCCTGTCTACTGGACAACAAGGAAAGGGAGGTCCTGTCTACTGGACAACAGGGGGAGGGAGGTCCTGTCTATTGGACAACAGGGGGAGGGAGGTCTTGTCTACTGGACAACAAGGATAGAGAGGTCCTGTCTACTGGACAACAAGGATAGGGAGGGCCTGTCTACTGGACAACAAGGATAGAGAGGTCCTGTCTACTGGACAACAAGGATAGAGAGGTCCTGTCTACTGGACAACAAGGATAGGGAGGTCCTGTCTACTGGACAACAAGGATAGGGAGGTCCTGTCTACTGGACAACAAGGATAGGGAGGTCCTGTCTACTGGACAACAAGGATAGGGAGGTCCTGTCTACTGGACAACAAGGATAGGGAGGGCCTGTCTACTGGACAACAAGGATAGGGAGGTCCTGTCTACTGGACAACAAGGATAGGGAGGTCCTGTCTACTGGACAACAAGGATAGGGAGGGCCTGTCTACTGGACAACAAGGATAGGGAGGTCCTGTCTACTGGACAACAGGGGGAGGGAGGTCCTGTCTACTGGACAACAAGGATAGGGAGGTCCTGTCTACTGGACAACAAGGATAGGGAGGGCCTGTCTACTGGACAACAAGGATAGGGAGGTCCTGTCTACTGGACAACAAGGATAGGGAGGTCCTGTCTACTGGACAACAAGGATAGGGAGGGCCTGTCTACTGGACAACAAGGATAGGGAGGTCCTGTCTACTGGACAACAGGGGGAGGGAGGTCCTGTCTACTGGACAACAAGGATAGAGAGGTCCTGTCTACTGGACAACAAGGATAGGGAGGTCCTGTCTACTGGACAACAAGGATAGGGAGGTCCTGTCTACTGGACAACAAGGATAGGGAGGGCCTGTCTACTGGACAACAAGGATAGGGAGGTCCTGTCTACTGGACAACAGGGGGAGGGAGGTCCTGTCTACTGGACAACAAGGATAGAGAGGTCCTGTCTACTGGACAACAAGGATAGGGAGGTCCTGTCTACTGGACAACAAGGATAGGGAGGGCCTGTCTACTGGACAACAAGGATAGGGAGGTCCTGTCTACTGGACAACAGGGGGAGGGAGGTCCTGTCTACTGGACAACAAGGATAGAGAGGTCCTGTCTACTGGACAACAGGGGGAGGGAGGTCCTGTCTGCTGGACAACCG